ATATATTGGTACTGGGAGATTCAGTCAACCTTGGGATTTTATTCTCTTCTTTCCTGTGAAAACTAATTGTCAGGAAGATATCTTTTCTTCATTAACTTTTCGATCTGTGTACGAAGATCGGTTACTGTTGCTTTATATTTTATCCATTGTTTTTTAGGTGCAATTTTCTTAAAAGCATAGGAGTTCATACATCATCTCTCTCGGTAATCAACTTCCTGGTCATCCTTCTGTCATGTTATGGTACTGCTAACCAGAATGCTTTGGCATACGCTGTGCGTACCACGTTGATTATATACCATTGTACGATGATGTCGGAGTTAACAAGTCAATTTGAAGATGGGAAAACCGTAGTCGGGTTGCCGGATTTAGTAATTCTGTAGAGAATGTGGGACTGATATTGATGTTTGAAAAATCATGAATTCAGTAATCCTTGTTCTGGAATTTCCTTTTCCTTCCCATTGGCTGGATAAGTGAGAACATGGTTCTTCCCACTTTGTCTATTGTTGCATCCCCATTCTTGGTTGAAACTTGTCACATATTTTGGGTAAAATATGTACTTGAGAAGTCATGTATCTGTTCATAAGCTCTTTCATTTTGCATTTAGATTAAGTAACCTCAAAGGCATTTCAAGATAAATAAAATAAAAATAAAAGGTTTTTATTTATTTTTCCATCAATTTAAAAGTACATCTCAAAGCTCTTTAAATATTGCACAGGTAAAGGAAATGATCCAATAGTTCATAACGGAGGAAATGCAAAATAGTGTTTATTTATGTGAGGGTTACATAAAAGAGTAGACCTAACAAGTTAAAAGGATCATAAAAGCAAATATATATGTATGTATGTATGTACAAACCTAACAAATTAATGAACATTAAAAACCTATGGAAGAGTCCCATTTTACATCTGACCTTAATCTGATTATTGGAATTGATTTATTTGATATGAGTTTTAAGATAGATCCAAATATTAGCTGATCTTATTCCCATATGTAATGGGATAAGGGGGAGATAGGGTAATAGGCTACCTTAACGCTAGGTTGAGAGCAACTTCTGTGAAAGATCTTTGTTGACTCAATCCCACGACCACAAGGTTAAGAGCCTTGCGCTCTACCAATTGAGCTAGATGGACAATTCATAAGATAGATCCAAATATGATGATTCAAATCTATTTGAAATTTGAAATAAATCGAATTTAATTGAAAATTTAATGATACGAGCCTTGGCGAAATATCAGTTATGAAGGGAAATTTTTAACGAGGTCTTTCGTGAAAATTGTCCTTTCAAATCTTTTTAATCCATTTTTTAGTTTCAACGTTAAGAAAATCGGTGGTTTGAGTCAATTTCATCTTACTTGAATATATGTTGTTTGGACTCTAAAAAATATTTAAAGGTAATTTAAGAAATGTATATATAAAATGACATTTTTCTTATATAATATTATTTACACTGTCTGAATTAAACATTTTTTAAAAAAATTATAACTTAAATAAAACTCTTTCGGGATTCTCACATCGAGAAAGATCCATAAAAATCACAGATTTTTTTTAAATTTTTTTCTAAAAATAATATAATTTAAAGTTAAAAAACATAAAAATAAATACGATCGAAATATAATAAAATTATATTATTTTAAATCATATATAATTTAAAATATTATATTCTTTATAATATTTTTGATAGTGATATAAGATATTGCGAAGAAGGTATAAAATTTGTTAATAAGTACATTGTCTCTGTGTTTAGACGTCTTTAAAAGATTTAGTTTATTTTCGCGCAATAAATTTTAAGGAAAAGATTGAATGTTGGGGATAATGAAAAATCAAATAGTTTCTAAACTCAATTTCTGCTTCCATATATACACTAAAACTCAGTTTTACTTCCAATTATTGAACACCGCATGGCCGTCTAATTTACTTATTTCAAAATTATTATGCTCAACCTATAGCACGAATCAATTTATTTTCGTGGTTTAATTAATCGTTGTTGTTCTTAGATATTATAAATTCGAACATCAACGACTGTAACAGAGTGATTGAGCTTTTATTGTCAAATGATTGAGAATATCTATAACATATATTATTTTGAGAAAAAAAAACCCTACATGTTTTTAGTATTAATATGGAAATTGTTCTTTACTTAATTTTAAATTTTTGTGGTACAAATCAAACAATCCCAGTTATAAAAGTGTTATTGTTATTTTTTGAAGTCTCGAATTTAAACATCATGAATATTAGAGATATAAGCGTTTAATTCACTATCAAATGGCTAAAAATTATTTTTAAATAAATATTATCATACAATTACTAGAATAAAAAAAGTTTAAATCTTTGTATTATTAATTCTATCGTAATAATATTTGTTACGGACGTAATTATATGCGTTGGTTTTAAACTAAATCCTAAAAGAAGGTGAAATAAGAAGATTAAAAAAAAGGGAAAATAGGGGTAATTATTAAAAGACTTAGAAAATTGTGGAATGTTCCATCATCTGGTTCATCTCTTCAACTTGACCTGAAGAACTCTCATCCAGAAGCCATTTCTCAATAGATAGAAATAGAGGATGTAATACCCTATTTTTGTCCTAAAAATAAATAGGGAACAAAACCAGAGACTAAACTTGTAATATTACCATTTGTAATTTGGGGGCTCTAAAAGCCAATCAAAAGCGGAATGTAAAGGCCCCCATTTTGTAAGTCTGAAAACAGAAATAAAAAAGAAAAGTTCTGGTTCTCTAGCTTCACGTTTGCTTTCTTTCATTTTTTTAAGCATCAAAACGTAAAATGCAGTTTATCTCCACACGTGCACCGCTACTGCCACAGCCAACAACGTCTTGATCAGCAGCAAACTGAGACAAACCTCCACTCTCCTACCCTCGAAGCAACACATCACCAGTGCTCTCATCTCTAACCAAACACCTTGTCTCATGAAACTCAAAAAATACATCATTGGCTCTAGCAAACTTAAAGACATTATCTCTGATACCATATTAGAAAGATAGAAAGAAGAACTTTGTTTATGATTGCTTCACTTTTACACTTAGCATTACAGACTATATACACAGTGATGGCAGTAACTGCTTCAAGTTTATTAGACCCAACTAACTAACTAGCTGAGCTGGCATAGTTGAAGCTTCCAGATTATATTCAACACTCTCTTACAAGTCTTAAGTGTTATCGTTGTCATTCTTATTTTCTTGATTTTCCTAGAGGAACTTGTACCAGTAAATTCTTAAACCACTTGATTTTTTTGTACAGCTAGGTTGAGTTGGATTTTTTTTTCCAGTTAAGTCGATAACAATAAACTCTTCGATGTTCGTATGCTTAGCCATGCAAGAATCATTAGCAAAGAAGTCATATCCATGCAAGAATCTTCATATCACTATAAATTATACAATCACAAGGCTGCTGTCAATACTCCGTACACTACAAACTCTGATTAATTTACATCATCAGTGAAACAAAATCAAAATTACATCAGAAAGAAAACAGATTTAGCCATTCCTATGTGGCCGGATTTATCACTCTTTGGAGAAAGATAATTTCCCACTAACCAATTTATTTCCACTCTCTCTTCTCACATAATCTTTCTTTTTCATTGACGTTTTTTAAATTTGATGCTTCCCCGTTGATTGTAGGAACTATATACCATCCGACACAAGTACACAATATTGCAACTGGTCTTCCAACAAACATCAAAAACAACAAAATCAGGATTATAATTACTGGGATGTAATAAGACGGCTTTCTCAGATTCTGAGACTGGACAATCTTCCATGAAAACCTCTTCTCCTTCGTCGTCTTCTTCGACTTCAAGTTGATGTTTTTATCGGATTCTGATGGGGTTTGAACCTTATTAATGGCTTCAGAGACGTACCTTCGTTTGGTGTTTTCTTGCTTGGTTTTCTCTTCGTTGTTGTCTTGCAGGTTTATCACAACCGGGACACAATCGTTTGACTTGTTGTAAACGAACCGAACTACGCTTTGTGATCCCGTTTGTGAATAGATTTTCTGCCTTTTCTCCTCGAGTTCTGCTAAAAGTGCAGAAAACTGGTCGAGTCCCCGTGTTGAATAGGGATTCTTGGTGTCCCTTTTTCTTTTTGATTTTCCCGGTGAACGAGCAGGGCTGGTGGACCAGATTTCATCACCTTCTTCTTCTTCTTGGTGATGGAAAGCTCCACAGAGAAATGGATAAAACATGAGGGAAGTGTTTTTTGGAGAATTTCAGGATGGGATTTTGGCTTTGATTCAAACAGGAAATATAGACTTATAAAAAAAACGACATCTAAATCTGCTACTTTGTCAAATTCAGGGTTGGAAGAAAGAAATGAAAACACAAGAAATAATACGAATAGAAGCTTCCACTCGTTCTGTTTGACTTGAAGATGAACTGGTGTTTTCTTATTTTCTTGTTGGTGCTCGTTAGATTCAAAAGATTTTGTTTTTGAGGTGATTAAAATGAGAACGTTCTACAAGTTAAGCGACTAATTTGGCAGTTTACTGTAATTAAAAATACTAATGGAAGCTCAACTTTTACTCTCTTTTTTTTGTTGCTGTTTTGTTCAGATTATGTGCTACGTCGTTTTTGTTTTGTTTATGGTTGTATTCAAGTCGTAAATCATAATCAAAACGTTGGGTTAATATTAAGCTTAAATATACAAAAGGTACCTAGCATATGCCTTTGATTCTAGTTTAGTACCTAATATTTATTTTATTCCAGTGTAATGCCTAACATTTCATTTGATTACTCATTTAGGTGCTCGGGCAGTCAATGACATTTTAATCGTTAAATGACACGTGTCACAACCCGATAATTTAAAAAAATTATTTAAAATTAAAATTATATATATATATATATTAAAAGAAAACACAAATTTTGAAATAAATCCAAAACTTTGAAAACCTTCATTTCAACCCTTAAAATCATGTCGGCCATCGCCTTTTTCTGTCGACGAAGCTCCACCAGACCTCCTCTCCCCTCGCGACCAAAAGCCCTATAAAATCATGACTGATCGATGGCCCATAGATGACGAATCAGCGTTTTATACCCCGCAATCCCACACAATTCCGACAGCCGATCGACAGTCGATCAATCACTATTTCATGGGGGGTTTGGTCATCGAGGGGAGGGGAGGTCAGGTAGAGCTTCGTCGACGGCAAAAGGCGACGGCCGACGTGGGTTTATGAAATAAAATGAAGGTTTTCAAAATTTTGGATTTATTTCAAAAAAAAATTCTTTTTTAAAATATATGTAATTTTAAATTTAAATTTTAAATAAAAATTTTAAAATTATCAAGTTGTGACACGTGTCATTTAACGGCTAAATTAACGATGTTGATGGCCCGAGCACCTAAATGAGTAACGAAATGAAACATTAGTTACCAATTTGAAATGAAATAAACATTATGCACTAAATTGAAACAAAAAACATACGTTGGACAGCTTTGGTATATTTAAGCCTAATATAAATCTTAATTAATGATAATCCTGTTTTGTAATATAATTCAGTTGTATTAAAAATTTGAGTGCCTGTTTAATAATTCCTAACATATAGTTCCCTGGGGGAAGGGGGAGTCATCTGCCATTATTAATTTATCTTCTAGATGCACTTCGTTCTACCAAAGGGATAGAGACCTTCATACGTTAATTTTCTTCATCTCAATGTATTCGTAATATCAAATATGAAATAAAAAATAATTAAAGATACAATACTGATATAATTTAATCTATAAATATAGGTAAACCGCCAAACTAATAGTCAAATATCTATTTTTTTTAATAATCTCGGGTAAGTACATGTTAATATCTGTTCAAAGAACACTCTCAATATTTCGACATTAATCGCTCACATCCCTAGTACCTATAGTGCTCGAACCCGAATGCTCAAAGAATAACAACAATTTATTTACCACGGAAGTCACTTTGATTCGTGCAAATATCTATCATTTTTTAATTGATAATTATGTAAAACATGATGTTAGAAACTAATATTTTTATCAATTTTTATTTTTTTATTATCCTTTTAGCTCCAAGATTTCGTCCTGATTAATTAGAACCGATCAAAGTCGATACTTGGTTTTCGTGAATGAGTTTTCCATCAATTTTTTTACATATGCAATAACTCGAACACAATATCTATTTAACCGATATCAAATTAATTATCCTTTCAACCAAACCATTAGTTATGTATAAAAAATTCTCACTCGCTGTATTAATTTATTTTTGATAAAAACTTTCATCTGATTCTAGAAGTCACAAACCTGTGTAGCTGTCAACAATATTTTTTGTTTTTATTTGAACATGTGAATTAAGAACCTACGTCTTTGCATTTCAAAGCTTTCAAAATTTTTCTCCCACGTGTATCTATCTATAACTCCGATCTTGTTCGATCAGAATTTATTAATATTTTTAAATAATTAAACTAATGTACTTTATAATAATATATTTATAATTATTTATTATATTTTAAATTATTAAAATAATATTTTTATTTTTAATAATATAAAAAATCGAGTAAACCAATAATATTGATAATGCATATGATTTAATTTATATTTTCTTTCGAGTGTATGTACAATGGCGAAACTCAACAATATTTATTGGAGGGGTGATAGGGAAGCGGCGGCGGATTGATGAACGTTGCTCTTGTTGAAGAATCAAACCTAGAAAAGCTCTAGACTCGATGAAGAACAATAAGGAATGAATGAGGAAGGTGGCGGCAATAGCTAGGATTCTTTAGGGTTTCTTTTAGTGCTAGAAACAAGAAAAGAAACAAGATTAAAATAAGATAAACAAAAGATAAAGGAATTAAGAATAGAGAAAATAACCAAGAAATCAAAGATCACCCTTATGAAAGTAAATGGTAAAGATGATTGATGGCGTGGATGGATGTGGAAAATCGATGGATAATGTCCTATCGAGCCCTCCTAGTCGCAATGAAAAGGCAAACACGATAATATGGCTCTAACCAACCCTCCTAGTCGCGATGAAAAGGCAAATTGGAGTGTGAAGATTAATCTCCCTCACAAGAACTTGAAAGAACTCCAGGAGAAGAAGCTTCGAAGGCACAAGGCAATCATCACTTGCAAAAACAAACTCTTGTTGTATTATTGATCAAAGAAATCTTGACTAAATAAGATCAGGATCCCATTCAAAAAGTCGTCGTAAGTCTGCTTCTGTTCTGATCTTCTTTTCCAATGCTTGGACGAGTGGCTCATTTGGAAGAGTTATTACTTCTTCCTTTGATGTGAGCCTTGTGATGCATGTATCATTCTCCCTTTCTTCAAAAAGATTCGACCTCGAATCTGAAACATTAAAGGGAGCAACATTAGAATCGTTTAATGATTTATTCACATTATACTTACCGAATAGATATGCTTTGAATCTTCGAGACTTTGTTCTTCTAATAGGTTCGAGTAGAAACATTAGTCCAAAGAAGCATGTATTATGGACTCTGGTGCATGTATCATTCCCCCACTTCTCAAAAGGATTCGTCCTCGAATCTCTGGACTCTAGTAACTGGTGGCTCTTCATTGATATGGCATAGTGATTAGGGCTTTCAGGTGGTAACCCATCAGGAGGGTCACCTAGCACTATTCGACAACTCTTAGCGATGGAAAATGGTGTGGGCCAGTCTCGTGTTGTTTTTACTTTCTCATCATTTACATGGATTCCCGGTGCACGAAATATAAAGCCTTTGGAGTTGTTCGAATCTTGTTTCGTCATTAAGATGACATCACAACTAAGACTTTCCTGGATGTAGCCTTTTCGTAACAAATCTAACTCTTTGGTTTCTTCGATATTGTATGTTTGACGAGGTATGATGGAACCTTGAATTAGATTGGTTTGGTGTTGTTTTCCTCTTTCCGGTGGTAATTCGTTAGGTGGATCACCTAACACTTCTTGAAAATCCTGTAACAAAGATGAAAACACACTAGGCAAATCCTTGTTAATGTTAGAGATCGAAACAATTGATTCCCTAAAGTGAATAAGGATGGAAGGCTGTTTGTAAATAAGGTTCTCTCTCAATTCTTTTGTGCTCACACATTGATTTTGAGTCACTCTTTTCTTCTCACAATTAGGTTCACTCACCTCCCATGGGTCATTATTCTTTTGGCTTTTGTAACTAGTGACCTCTTTTGTTTTTGCCTCTTTCTCAGCTTTTTCTTTTTTTGCTTTCCCTACCTTCTCACAAATTATCATTTGATCTTTAGGGACTGGAAGTGTGTCATTCTTTGCTAGTTGTTCTTTCTCCTTGTCAGGTTTTTCATCTCTTGGCTTTTTTTGAGAAGATGGAGTAGAAGATGAGGAAGGATTTGAAGGATTACCTTGATAAGAGGATGAAGTACCTTGGTAATGTTCACTGAATCGAGATTTCCTTTGGATTTGTGCTTCGATTGTCATTGCTTTCTTTAGTTCGTCTTCAAGGTTTTCGTACCCTTGTAGATCAAGAAGATCAATGATGTTTGAGTTTAAGCCGACGATGAATCTTGACACGGTGACCTCTTCTTTTTCGGTTATGTTAGCCCTATTGAGTAAGGATTGCATCTCCTTATAGTACTCTTCAACTGAACTTCTACCTTGTCGAAGTCGGTCTAGTCGTAGTTTAACTTCACGTGTATAATGTGTCGGTAGGAATCGCTTCCTCATGGTTTGGTTAAGGTCGGTCCAAGAAGTGATTGTTGGAATTTGGAAGTTCTGGATCTTTTTCCTTGTTTGCATCCACCACGTTCGAGCATATCCTTCGAATTGTGTGGTGATGAGGTGAACTTGTTTAGCTTGGGGGCAGTCATGATATGCGAACATGAGAGCAACTTTTTCTTCCCATTCGATGTACCTGTCTGGATCATTGTCTCCTTTGAAAGACGAGATCGTGAACTTTGGTTTTGCAAAGAGTTCGGGTGCTTGAAAACGTGGTTGTTCTCACCCGGGTACAAAAAGTTCAGCATTGTTTGGTCTTGGATTCTGGTTTGGTAGATCCAGTTGTGGTTTTTGTCGTTCTCTCACGATTTCATCAAATCTTTCAACTTGAGTCGTGAGTCGGGTAAGTGTGGCTAAGATAGCCGTAAGTGTCTTGTTGTTATTGTCGCCCATCCTGAAATCATAACACTCAAAAGAAAATTTTAAAGTAAAATAAAAATAAAAGGAAGAAAATTCAACAAAGCAAGAAACCTCACAAGTCACTCCAAGAAAGTAACACAACGAGAGGCAAGTAAGCCAATCTTGTACTCTTTAAAACTCACTTTACCAAGTAGTTTTCCACAGTTCGTATCGGAGTTTGATTACTAGCAAAGGCGATAAGAAAAAACTTAAAAGTTCTAAGAGGCCAAACAAAGGTTAGACTCCAAGAGAACGAGAATGCAAAGAAGGAAGAAGTATGCAAACTCTTTAGTCCTACTAACACAAGGAAGATAATGTGTTAGATAATGCAAAAGAACAATAACAGAGAAAAAACAAAAGAACGTAAAGCACTAAGAGTCAAAGAAAAAAGGACCAAACCAGAAAACCTGGAAAACGCTGGATCAACTTGAGCAACATTTTTGAGCGGGTTACCGGTATCCAAAAATTATGGAAAAATTCTTGAATGTCTTTCGATGCGTCAAGAAATCACCTGTAAAATTTCAGAACCAAATACTTTCAGAAGTATCCAGTAGACTCTGTTAAACGGTGAGTCCTCAAACAATCTGTTTTTCTTGATCGCTTTGTTCGAAGTTGTTCTTGATCTCCAAAAATTCTGATTTTTTGTGTGAATGATATCAAATATATGAAGTTTCAATCTGGAAATTTTCACCACAAAATTCCTCCTGTAGAATTTTCAAGAAATTCGACAATATTCTAGACCGAATCTGCCGATAAAACTTGAATGATGTATTTGAAGGCTCTAATGAACTCTGATTGAAGTGAATTTTGGACTAGAGATTAAACTTAAGATTAATATGATATATGGAAAAAATAAGCCCTAAATACCTTCGTTTGCAATTTTTTTTTGAAATTTTAGCTTTTTTTGTTTTTTTTGCCTTTTTTGTTTTTGTGTTTTTGAAAAAAATAGCAAACTAACAAGAAGGATTTGAATCTAAATTAAAATTAAATAAAAATAACCTGAAACAATGAATCTTCTCTGAACTAGCTCCGTTGGGGTA